TTGGTTAAATGACATTTCTAAACACTTCAGTTTGATGGTGTGCTAAGGGAATGCAACAAACAATTTGTTGCGATCTGTGCAAACATCTAAATCTCAAATTTGGCTGATTTCTTTATGCAGCATGCAGAGAAAGTCATGTCCAATAGCCCAGGGCGAGTGATTTTTGTTCTTAACTTGCCTAACGGGCAATTCAAATTACAAAAGGATTGTGATCAATCCTGCTAATCAAAAAGGGTTTTGGGGCTAGTTGAAATGACTTGTGGGCTAGTACATGTTAGCTACAGCTTGCCCCAATGGCAGGCTGTAAAACTGACTTTCTTTGCACCCTGTTTATGTCATTGTGATCATCTTATCAAGAATTCTTAGATGGTCAGTTCAAGAGATTTGGAATGTCTTCAATGTAATTAAGAACTCAAATATCCATTTTCATTTATAGGAAAAGTGGGGAATGTTCGGCAAGGATCTCCTCACAAAGGGGTGCAAAAGGCACCCTCTCCGTCATCTCACGTCCAAGTGGTCCAGTCACTCTCATCTCAGCAACCAGTCATAGCACAACAACAGAAGACTGTTGTAGTCACAAGTCCACAGGGCAACCAAACTAAGCTGTTTATCAATCACAATAATATATCAAGTTCCCAGCAACCAATTGCACAGCTTAAGCAACAGGTTGCCCAACAAAAGCAACAGTTACAACAGATTACTATCCAACAGATTCAGCAGCAGCAGCAACAACTTCAACAACAAAAACAACACATCAACTCTCAACTTATAAAGCAGCTTCCTATTCAACCTCGCCTCGCACCAGCTCCTCCATCACAATCATTCATCTCACAACAACCCTTAACAGGTCAGAACGTTATTGTCAAAGTCACAGAACAGCTTAAAAGTCCTCCAAATACAGTGTTTGTCAAGACAGAACCTCGGCAAAACATTCAGCACACAGTGTGCCAGAAACCACAATCTAATGTTGTTTGATTCATTTGTTCATGTTTTGTTCATCTTTTAATAATATGCTACTGGTATGCAAGGCATAAATGTAACAGAAGTTGTAAGTCTGGTGGTTCTTGTTTGTGTCGCCACAACTGAATAACATTGAATGGACACTTGTTGTGGTGTATTCAAGATTGGAGGCCTTTGTCAATGTGATGGTAAGCAGATCGTCTGGTTAACAATTATTAGTAGTACTCTTTTAATAAACTCTTGTACTCAAAAGTGTTCCTAGGGTCACAAAATTTTGTGATTTACCAGTTTCACTAAAAAGTAAGGCTAAGTCAAGTTTTTTTCACACTTTTGCCAGAAATTCATCCACGGTTTCACTCCAGAGTTTTACTCCACATAATAGAAGGCACTGGCTGTAAAGCACTGCTCAGTAGCTTTCACTTGAATGGTCGCATTTTCATTTTTCTTCCAGACTCAAAACCCGTAAAGGCAGTGTTAGTAGTGTTTTTTGGCCCGCTAAGTTTTGTCAGTGTAGTAGCATAAAAGAAAGATATCAAAGAAAAAAATATATTAATATTATGTGAGGGTGAGAAAGGAAAAATATTTAAATACAAGCGTCAGATGTAAAATATTATGTTGTCTCCAGCTGTTGTAGTTTTATTTAAAAACAACTTTTTTCTTTATACCTTTTTTTGACAAGGTGAAAGATAAGGTTTATATAATAAGAATGTGCATGCCAGAAACAAAATCTAGGATTTTTTTTTTTTTACTGTGGGCTGACTCTTTCAGTCAAATTTGCACCAAAACAGTAATATGGAACTTTTTTCCAAGGCCATATCTTCAGTTGACAAATAACCTTCAAAAGACCTTTAACAATAGTGAACAAAATTGTATGGTTTAGTCTTTGTTCTCAAATATTCATGCGTGTATTCTTCTTTCTTGTCCACATAGATGTGGTATGGAATTGTTTGAATAATACCTGTAGTTGTTGTCTTCAAGGGAGACTCATTTTTGAGTTGGTTTTGTTCATTTTCATAATCTCTCTGATTGATTAAGCATTGACATTGTACACAGCTGATACTAAAGTATTTCAAGTTATTTCTTACATGCATGTTATGGGAATGTTTTGCCTCAGTGTTCTGTGAGCTCTGGAAATATGTCAGGAATGTTGATTGTTTAGAGACAAGAAAATCAGAAACTTTCCAAAGCAAAATTTGTGTCACATCCAAAACATGCAATACAAACATTGGAACTAATATTTACATATTAATTTATTTTAGTTGTTCAAATTATTTCCAGAGTTACATCTTATAAATTGTTAATTATTATTTGTAAAACTAAAAAAATGAAAAATAGTAGACCATACTTTGCTGCAAGCAAAACAGGTACTAAGTTATAATTTAGAGAAATGTTATTACTTTAACATTAATAATATTATTCTCTTTTTCCATTTTTTTTTTCTGTCTTAACCTGTTATACATATTCGTATTATTATCAATGATGCTTAAGTACTGGCTCCAGTATTTTCCAAAATCCCTTTAGTCCCCAAGAATATGAAAGTTCTGGGATCAAAGGCTCTCAGTTGAGTTTTAACATGTAAGGATTTCATTCTAACATGTTTGAAACCCCACGTAAAACGACTCACTCAGAACTACTTTTTAAGGCATTTATAAGTTAACTATGAAGAAAAGAAAAGTACTGCTTTGTAGCTTTCATTTAAATTAATTTTCAATAATTTGGTTATACCTAATTAGGATTTCTTCCTCAGAGCTAGTAGTAAGGGCCAAGACATATATATATACCTACAAAAACGTACTGTTCAGAATTTCATGGGTGAAATCATAAATTGTGAACATTCAAATGATAGCCACTATAAAAGCAATTACAAGATGGTTCTAACTTTTGATTCTGTGGATTAAATGTTAAATTGTGACTATTTAAATGAAAGATATGGAGCAGTACTTCCCTGTGATGCCACATGCATGTATTTTACACATACTTTTCAGTCTTTGGATGAAATTATATTATGTGACTATTCAAATAAGAACTCTTAGGCAGTACTTTCGTGTGCACCTGTGTGCTACAGTATTTTACAAAATGAAAGAGTTGGGAAATTTTCTTGAATTTGGATTTAAGATACTCTCGACTTAAGTCCAACTCTTTTCTGGTACTTTTTTCAAACTGGTTGATATATTATTCTTCTCTAGAGGGAGTTTGTCAGGTACAAGCTTCACTAGGTATGGGCACTCAATAAAAGATAAGAAAAACTATATCAGTCTTTTGCACCAATATTTTTTCGGAAAACAAAATAATCAGGGCTTGCTTTTATAATATTTTTTGCGTCTCAAATGTGTGAGACAAATATGTTCTACTTTCACAATAATAAAAAATCTAGTCTTAAAAAGTGACATGAATGAAATCTTCAAACCCCAAGAACTGTCTACTCATACAATCTTTCTGAGTGACTGTCTGTTATTTCCAATAGCAGTATGAGAATTAGTTGACATATCGCAGATCAACATTAGCTAACAAAGTGACGGCATCGGTTAAATGACTCAGTTCTGATAAATATTTTTTATTGTCATTTGTCATGGTAAGAGATATTAGATGCTAGGTCTTGCGGTTTGAAGACTTACTACTCTATATATGTCATTCTTTAGAGTGATATCTATGGTGAAATGCAGTGCAAGAATAATGTGAAGATGTATTTCATTGATGGCGTGTACATTTAATTAATAATTATTACAAATTAATTATTATTATTACATGAACTGAATGCACCATGCTTGAAGACTTACACTAAATCAATTTTGTATCTAACTTTTGTAAATAAAGTATTTATATGTTCAGAGATCAGAAATATGCGACTGTTAAATGTTATATGTTAATGATAGCCTGCAATAATGGTGTTAAAGACTGTGCATGAATTTGGTGCATCCAATTTTTTTAAAAGCTGAGGCCAAGTGCAAAGCCTTTTAATGTGAAATGAGTTTTATTTGCGTGAGAATTATGAGCCTACTTACCCTCATTTTGTAAAAAAGGCCTTGTGGTCTGGACAGGGGCACTCCCTTTAATGGCCTTAATAGGAAGGCTTTGCCCACAAGGAAAACCTTTTTTGGGCTTCAGGTAAATGAAGGGTAGGGAATTCATGAGTGAAAGTATGAAAGGGTAGAAAAATCTACACTTTAAGTATTTAAAAGGTCTTTTAATTAATCAACTTGTTTTAAAAAGACGTGCCTTTAACATGGAATTATCATTTTGTTTTTTAAAATGTTGCATGAAAATGACAAAAAGACTTCCTGATTTAGTAATTATTATTTTCATTACGTAGGTATTTTAAAGGGGTAACATTCTTCAATAAAAGGTGTATGGAAAGGGTACCTGTTCTGTCCAAAATGGTTTAGTAAAGGGTAAGTGTTTGGGCCTTGGGTTGGAGCCTCCCCGAAAACAAACCTTAGCTGAGTAACCACCCCTCTCCCCAGGGGGGAGTGGTTACTCAAAAGTGGTCGTCAACTAGGATCCAAAGAAAGATTGGTTCATTTTAGTTATCTTGGCTGGAATGTCGCTATTAGTGGCCCCAGCCAGTCAGTTTTCCTTTTTTATAATCCCTTCGATCCTATATAGACCTTTGTCACGCGGCGGCCATTTTGGCTCAGGAGATTTAAAAAGCTTTGTTTATGCAAGGCTAGCCTCGTTCTCGAAGTCTATCCTACACAAAGGTGTTTGGATTTTTTATCCTAACCTGAGACTTTCTCCTCTCCCCACCCAGGCAACAGCCATTTATCTCGGCTTGCTTGCATTCTCTCTCTGTGCTTTTATTGAATACATGTAGGTCAGGTGGTATCTCTGTGGCAAAAGAGACACAAAATACATCCTGGGGGTCCTGTTCTATTCTTTCTTGTGGGGAGAGAGTTCTCTAGAAGTGATGACAAAACAAAGTGTGAGGCTTTTAATACTTTCAGGAGAGTCAATTTTTCAGGGGTTTATTTTTAAAATATTCGTTCAGTCCCGCTGTAGCGTACATCCTCGCCCCAGGGTCTCTCGGAATCAGTATAGATCACTTCCGGTTTGTTTCAGTTTCCAACAGATCAACTGAAAGTCACGTGAACTTCCGGAGCGAAAAATGGCGGACACCGGTTGCGTTTTAAGTTAGACAGAAAGTTCATTAAAATGTCCGAATTAACTTTTAAAGTGATCATAATAGGCGATGCCACAGTAGGAAAAACGAGCTTTGTTCAGCGTTATGTTAACAGCCATCCAAGAAGAGATTACAAGCCTACAGTAGGAGGTATGGAAGAGTTATGTTGTTTATTAATATAATTCATATTCGAGAATAATAATAATAAAACTTAGCGTTTTTTAAGTGCAAGTGAAAGAAGTTTTAAGTGTAGACTTTACTTCGTACATGTGCGAAGTTGGAATAGTTTCAGAATACCCAGTCACTGTGGATATAAACAGTACAGTTTAGAAGAAAAAGCTCACATGGCCTATCGATCACCTCGCTGTCATATGGACCATGTATATATGCTTGGTGTAGAAACAGCATAACCGGTTTGTACTTAGTGTAAGCTTATACTGACGCCTTGCACTGGTGCCTTTGGTGTAGAATATTCTTCAGTTGACTCGCAACAGGTAGTAGTATAGTCGAACCTCCATGTGCGACCAGCTTCCATAAGCGACCGCCAATCCAAAACACCAAAATTTTCTCTGTCAAAGCCATACAATTAATTGGAACCTCTGGTAAACGACCACCTCCTGTAAGCGACCGCGACCACTTTTTGGGCCTGACGATTAATAATTCTCCATTGTTTCTTACCTCTTGTAAGCTACCACTTTACGCATTCCCTGATGTCTATGTTTGCAGTGTGCACTATGCTACTAAGAATATACGTAGAATTTTAGTGACAGCATGGAACTACACATGGGGTAACTTAGACGTTGCATGCAATAATTGTCTTCCTTAAAATAGGTGTGACTGGACTTCTTCTCGGAAGAGAACTCCCTGTGGTTGGATTCTTGTAAGCATAATTCATCTCTTCCTCCTTTTCTTGCATAAAATGCCGACAACCATGGCCAACAAGATTCCGGAGTCAGCCATTTTCATAACATTGCTTGCGATATTTCAGGATGTCTTAAGTTGTGCACGTATGGATGGTTGTGCACAATGGTTGTAAGAAAAAATCATACCATCTCAACTGGCATTAAGATGGTCAACACCACTAGGACTAGCCCCTGTGGTCTGTCTTAGAGAGGTGTCTGCCCAGAGAGAGCTGGCGGTATGCAGGGCTGTCACTAAGAGCTTGGGGCCAGGGATTTGGTCTCACCCTACTGGATGAGAAAAACAATATTTTTACCCATGCAGATACACTTATCCAGCTTATGGTTATGTGAAAAGAGAGTCCAATATAAGAATACCTATAAATGGTGCCTCAATGTGTGGGTGTTTAAGGATGGAAACATTTTTAAAATTGCTAGGTGAATCAAATGATGCCTGCTATTAAACAACTGTTACAAAATTATTAACACATGTTCATGCATTTTTTCAGTGGATTTTGCATTAAAGGTCATTAAACTGTCTGAGGATACTACAGTGAGACTTCAGGTGGGTATAGATTTGCAACAGTACATTTGTACATCATTTTCAAACATACAGTACTCTACAACAAAGTACATTGTATGTAGTTACCACCCAACATTTAAAGTAGCCTGAGAAAAGAGACAAGATTCGCAACACGACCAATGGTTTGCCTGTGAATTGATGATGCAAATCTAGGTAGTGCTTCTGATTGGTTGAAGCAAATTTCACAAGTGGCACAACACGACCAATATATATAATAGAAGCACTACCCAGATCTGGGTAGTGATGTGTCATCAGTATGGAATTTCTGCGCTGGTTTCTCAGATGTCAATTTGCAGGGAAAGCAGTGGTAGCATCGCGAAATGTGGTCTGTTTTCATAAGTATTTTTGGATTTTTGCATAAAAGAATAATGATCAGATCTACACTTTCTTTTTTATTAACGTTCCTTGAGGTTTCAATGTAGCATTCCAAGCTACACTGAACATTTGTAATGTTTAGATAACTCCATAGTCAGTGTAACTCAAAAGTATGCCATAATTATATTTTTGCAAATCTCATACCCTAGAGATCAGCACTCTCTTGTTCAGGTGACGCAGAGCAGTTTTAGGAACGCGTGATCAGTTCATACAGTTTGACAATGTATTACTGTAGTTTGTTTCTTTTTTGTTGTTGTTGTTTTTCAACATTTTTTTTTTTGCTTTTTTTATTATTTGAGAATTATTCACACCCTGTCCCAATTTCCATTTGTTTACTTATGACATTATTTTTATTTTGTGTTATTGTTTCTTTCTGTGAACTGAACATGGTGAAGTTATGGGATATTGCTGGTAGGTTAGCTATTATATCTGCTCTTTACTGTAGTTTCAATTTATTATTTTATTTCAAATGTCAGTGACATGTTACTAGCAAAACCATGAGTCCTTTGGGTAGCCTCACAACAGAAGAGTTTTTGAACATGCAGTTGAAATTTTTTAGCCATGCC